AATCTGAGGTTTTCTGTAGATGCTTATCGTTCCTGTGGCACACTACGGTACGAGTATCTTTAATAACTTTATTGGTTATCAGCATTGAACGTTTCAGAGCGACGAAAAATACTTTGCTGAGAGCGCGGAACTATACACTAAAACAACGAATGACTGTACTCGGATTCTGCTGGTTAGTTCCCATGCTTTTCGCTGCCTTCACTGCGTATGCAGAACTGTCTTGTTTGGAAGAAAAGACAAGAAAATCTCTTACACCAGCATTTTTGGTTCACGAAATTTTAGTTGTTTTGTGCTGTTGTGTTATATTCGCCCTTGGCATTCTAACCACAAAACGACTGTCCAGATTACGACCAAATCCCCATCTCAATGAAGAACAGCAAAAGGCTAGAGCTCGCCGAACAAAAGCAGCCGCAAGAATGGTCCTCACGTCAGTCTTCTTATATTCCTGCTGCTGCCTTCCGCTCTTAATTTTCAACGCTTTGTACTACGTACAAACCTCCATTCCATCTGTTGATATTATTGATGTTGATGCTGACATCGACCGGGCTTCTTTAAATTTTATTATAAACGGTCTACTCTTAGTCGTCAACTCGTGCTTCAGTCCTCTTATTTACATAGTGTTTTTACCTGACTTTAAAGAAGCTGCAAAAAAAGTACTGTTTCGTGGAAGAGAAACGCAGACCCAGGCACCGAACAGACGAAACACAACTGAATTGCAAACAGTGACAAACTGAGAATAGATCAAAGCTGACCGAGTCTTTGGCAAGAGCTCTTTATCTATCTTGTATATATTACATAAAGCGGCTTTCAATCTAAAAACAAAATCCACAAATCAAATAACAACATGTTAAAACCCCACTGAAGAAGAGTTTATAGGTAGAAATTTTCCACAAAAAAATTAAACTTTTGCCGCACCTTCATGTTAAATTCAAAAACTTTATCATTACTAATATCAAAATAACAATAAAAAAAACCGTGTGCGTATAATACTGCAGTAATACTTATGAAATATTGGAATCATTTAACTGTCTTCGTTTGATTGCTCTAGTTTAGATCCTTTTRATTGATTTTTCCTCAAAAACCGTCTCAGTTTACTTAGTTGATTTAATTAAAGGACCTTGSTGAACAGCCACCCGTCACATATTTTGAATATATCCGGAAATTGTTATAATTCTAATCGTAATTTTTGATAAAAATACTTTTATTTTTGGTCCATTGTATCGACGATTTATGCAACGAGTTTCTAATCTCTTTATYATGGTCTAGCATCACAATCGCCTAAAACATCGCCTGTCTTTGCTTAATCAGAAGAGAAGACTATTTGGACAGTAGACCTTTACTATGTATACACTAGGGCCTACTCTGGGCGGATGTACAGAGGCTGAACTCTGGACCATATGCATAATGGTTTACAGACACTAGCTGTATTCTTGTGCTCATCGAAAGTAGAACAATAATTTAAACCGATGGCTTTAGGCAAACAATTTCAAAAACATTAATAAAGCTTAACAAATTTGGCGCCAACGTTGACTCGAGTCGACTTCCCGTACGGGCGCCATTTCACATCACACGTTTTTGAGAACTATCATTTAAAAAAACCTCAGCATGTTTTCATTTCATATACTTAAAATAAATATGACAATAACACAGTATTGCTGAAATGGGTCTTGGCGCCAAAAGGGTTAAAATGATTGTATTGGATAGTCCATTATGTCAAGCTCGCTTTCGAACTGTTAAAGAAAATCATTATTGCTTTATTGATTTGTTTACAGCAATATGCAGAAATTATGATCATTTTTGCTCATATTTCAAGTATACATAAAATATATCAGAAATAATTGTATATCATTGCCAATATTTTTTTCAGAAAGTACTAATGCTAGGCAACTTAAAAAAACTCAATTTTAATTGCTTTATCAAT